ATTCAATCCATCTCGGTTGCATGTCCATCCGCTGCAACAACGACGTTTGTTTTACTGAATGCAAGTATTATAATATTATTTTATATTAAGTCTTATAATATATTATATACGTCTTATATGTGTGTATGTGTGTGCATACGTCTAATTAGGCACCTATGGTTGGTTACTCTTTGGAGTGAATATTTTTATTTTATCGCATATCACCGGCAAAGGAAACGTTATGTTAACCTACCTGTATATACACATATATTTATATATACATATAAGTACAAGGAATACGTGCCAGAGGTGGCTGGCGGGGTGACCGTGTAACATAATAACAGCCTTTGGGTTCGTTGGATCGGAAGTTGACGTGACCAAGTTTAGTGTTGTGTGGCCTATACGTGTGTGGATATTGTTTTATATCATTCCAGACGAACGACTCGTCCGCAGACATTACCGTCCTGGGCGTACTATCCCATGACGGCAGTAGAGCCAAGATATTATACACATAATGACCGAACAAAACCACGGCCAACGTATATATTTTATGTCATGGGTATTAGCATATTATATTATTTATATTATAATATTGTAGACTATATTCGTTGAAAATAATAACAACACTGCCCTACGAGAATATATCATTAGCTGGCACCTACGTGGAAAATGATCCAAAAACTGTTTATTATACAATTATTACACCTTATTATTGACGTGATGTTAATTATACAAATATTAATACAACAAATAAACGAATCGAATAAAAAAATGTATGCTTCAAAACACGCTAAATGTAGCCTACGTATGTAGGTGTGTAGGCAATTATGATTTGCAATAAAAGCAGACAATACTCAATTAATATATTCAAACATTATAATACCTATATAATTTTGAAAACTTAATATAATTTATATTTGAATATACGATTTATGAAATTAATGATCTAAGTATAACACAATTTAATAATTAATAAATATTTCAATGTAGAAATTGAAGATATTTGGTAAAAATGTATTTGAATGCACTTGCATTTTGCACTGGGTTTATATAGTATAAAATATATAATGTATACAATATATACCTAAATATTTGATAAATCAAATCAAAACAGAATTATAATTACCTATTAGTTACCACAGTATATTTTTCATTAATTCGAATTATTTAATTTAGTTTTTGAAATCATGTATTTATATAATCATATTATTACTTTTCATGCTATTTTAATAATTTAATATGAAACTGAAACTACTTATCCAAGTAAAAAATCTTCCATCGGCAATAATGTTCTTATGTATATTCAATCTTCAATGATAAAATATTAGACTAAGAAGTATGGGAATAGTATTATCTGTAGACGTAAATTATTTTGTTAACGTATTAAAAATAAATGCAATTGTAAAATCGAATAACAAACTATAATATTTGAGAGATTTTAATCATTTTCGAGAGTACAAATTTGATAATTATTATAGTATGATAAATATTGTATTTATTATTTTTATATTGTCATTGAGAAATTAGTTTTTGTACTGTCAAAAACCTTTAATATATGCCTCACTTTCGTCGTTTAGCCCGTTTAGGGTCTATTTGGCACGTGCAGCTTGGTCAGATGCACAAACACCGCGCCTTAGGAACACCCGTAGAGCCAATTCATTAATGGACGAATGTTTGAAAAGAAAAAATAACAAATCCCCTGTGGATATTGACATTGACGAGTATATTTCGCTACTAAAAACACAAGATCACACTTGAATGTAGAATATATTTAGCTGTTTAGGTATCACGGGAGCTCTTAGAAATATAGGTCAATTACAACAAGATACTGTCCATACGCGATAAACATGAACACAAGTGATACTATACAGTCTATATAGTTTCATTCATATTACACATGTTATACTTAATAAAATAGTTTACTATACGTGTGTCGTGTGGTGGCGTGTATATTATAATATAATACTTATACGTTTATAATATAACTCTCAAACTCTATATTAAAAAAATATAATTATACTACCAAATCGTACTAAACATTTTTTTTTAATCGATTCAACTAAGAATTTTGAAAAAAACAATATGTATACTTTACTTATATGGCCATCAGGTGTAAAATAAACAATATTATCTTAGTTTAAAAAATCCTATATAATATGATTTTATTTAAAATATCTTATTATTTATTGATAATCCGTGGGACCGTGTGTGTGTATAACTTAACTTTACATATATTATTATGATACATCATCAGAGTTTGAAATTCGATTCAACGTGGAATTTTTCGGTACACTTGAATTAATTGGAACGTATAGGTGAAAATAAAATAATTATATCTTATGGGAACATACGCATATTGAGCAAATATCATTAGGTATCGTGGGATTTTGAAAATGCGTAACCGCAGAATCTCGCTTTTCTCTGCGATACCGCGTACAGTAATAGATCTTGTCCAACACGAATAGGAATGGAATGGATCTGAACGTGTGACTACGATGTAACTCGACTCGAGTTACTGGGTTGACAGGACATAGCGCACGATGGACTACGGTCTACGAGACTGATAGGTAGAGTGAGATAGAGCGAGAAGGGAGATATTTAATACAAAACAGTTTTAACCCTACGTGTGTATATTTGTGTTCGACTGGTCTCAAATTTCTAGATGGATAAAAAGTGAAGGAAATTTTTTTTTTAACCGGACAGTCCGGTGGAAGTAATAATTATGCTACGTCCAGGAAGTTGAAAAGTGTTGATGACCGGAAACAAGGTGAACGGTGCACATCCCTATAGCAACCCTGGTTAGGATCCAATATCAGTTATATGTATCCAAACCCCAAACCGACATCCTTCATTCGACACCAGGCATAAGGATAACACCCCTCCTATTGGTTTTTTTTCCAAACACATATTTCATACATTTCGTTCATACATGAGTATACATAATGTGCATATTAGATAGTAAAAATCGAGTATCAGCTTAAAAATGGTTTGAAAATGTTAATGATGAATTAAAACAGCCTCGGTTGTAATACTTCATTTAATATTATAATAACTATGCATTATTATAAATTATAATACATATTAAGTGGGACAGCATATTTTTATAACTTACACCAAATAATAATAAAATATAATAGAATATGCATACTTACACAAATATTTGTATTATTAAAAAAACGTGCTTTACTATAAATAACCTTTTATAATATCATTATGTTAAAGTTAATTAACTAATTGTAATATCACTTGTCAATTTACCAATAATACACGTTATACCGACTTAGTGACAATCAATACTCAGTTGTATTATTCTCTTTTTGAAAAAAATCCAGGAAACTGACTATTTTCTTATTCTGTAAGAAACAATCCTTCTAAAAGTAAACAATATACTAGTATTTTATGACTATAAATTAACATTTTACTTTAAATATACTGTTAAAGCAATTTTTTTTTTTGTCATACAAGTATATTATATTTAATATTTAATACAAACGAATTAAATAAATAGCAAATATACCAATTAGATTGTGTACCACAATAGTTCACGCAATTTTGTCATATTTATGTAGGTTATATTATACATTTATGCCTACCAATAAATTGGTTACAATTATATTTTTTTTACATAATTCCATGACATGTTAGCGACAAATGGATACCTTACCAGTTAATTCTTTACCAGAAAAGAAAATGGGTGATACATACAAATATATGTGACATGATGAATAATTGTTAAAATGTTTGTAATTTTTATAAAGTTTATGAAGTATACATGTCTTTGTTTTGCAGTTTACTGATTGCATTGTCTATTGCTTCATGTCGTGTGTTTGATAATTCATTTTTCATAAGATGTATTCTAAATTCTAATATTTGAAGGAAAGAAGACATGATTTTAGTCTAAAAAAATATTTGGGGGAAAACGGAAACTAATCTTTTCATGAATCATGGAGGAAAATAGACCCTGCCAATTGTTAATAAATTCTTATGTGGCGATTTTAGTTGTTACATATTATAATCATTGAGTAGAATTTGATAATAATTATGATAAAAAATGTCATCAACATAAATATAAAATAGTATCTATAATATAGCATTTAAGCATATGTATATACATTATATACATTAAGGTAATATATAATATAAAAGTGGATACAATAATATAATGATGGATATCGAAATAATATTATTGACAAAAATACAATTATTCGGAATCGTATGTAAACACTAAACATATTGGTTGAATGTTCAAAAAAATAATTTATTTTATAGCAAATAAGATTTGATTGATTCGTATTTCATTTTGTGGATGTTTTCTTCAATTTTACTATTTAATAGTCAAATTTAACGTTGTCTGTTATTCTATAAAACGTATTGTTCATTTATAATATAAAACAATTTAACGCAATTTGAAGTTTGTGAGGTTATTAGATGTTTATTCAACACGGTATACACACCTACATAGGCAGCTACATATAATACAAACACATATATTATATATACGTTTATAATATAATATGTCAACACTCTGTACCTGTTTAAGCACGAGTATTATTATTACATATATATGCATGTATATTGTTTGCATAAAAATATCTTAGGTATAGGTAATACATCGCGGCGGAACATCTGCAGCCATCATCAAACGTCGCTGACGTCGAAATATCGCGTTACAGGTACGAAGAGTTGGAAAACATATTAAAACACCATCTATCGAATCGAATTGAACGGTATATTATTATAGTATATATAAATAAATATATATACATGCACGTGTATAGTTGTTGCGGTTTGTACGAAACAGTCGCGCGCGCGTGTACATGTGTGTGTATGTGTGTGTGTATGTGTGTATGTGTGTATGTGTGTATGTGTGTGTGTGTGTGTGCGTGTGTGTGTGTGTGTGTGTGTGTATGTAAGTGTAACTGTATTAGTGTGTATGTGCTCGTGTGTGTGTGCCGAGCAATTGATTATGAATGCGTTCGGTTCGGAAAAGAGCGCCAATCGCAGTGCCGGGAAGTGGACACCAGTTGTGGGTGACGTAAGTCGGTGACATCCGAGGACAAGTTGCGGCGTCCCTTCTGCGGTCAACCCCCATCACATGGCATTAATCGCCATCGTGTCGAGGGTCGTCATCGCCGCCGCCGCCAGTGAAGTCGAAACCAGTGTCTCACGAGCACACAAACAACACTGGTTCGGCCGCTGCACCGCGTCCGTCGCGACCGTCGTGTATTATAATAATATATTGTTAAAATTGTCAACAATTAATAAAGTGTTTTCGAGCCTCATCGTTCGTTGCCAGCTTGTCTTCTTACTCTCGTTATTATAAATCATACAGCCGTATTATTTACACTCCGAGCGATACAAACAATGCAATTGTAAAAATCATTATTTGAATAATACCGCGTCATCGAATTCGTGTCGAAATAACATCCAGGTACGACGGACAATATTAAATAGTGTGTATACCTGGCAGTGATCCGATGGTGCCAGTCGTCGTCTCAGCCGTCGCGCTCAGTGGCCTGCAACAGCATCAACAGCGATGAACACGGGTGTCCGCCGGTGTCCACCGAATGGATGACGTCGTTTTCGGCGAGGACGCGGAATTCGGTTTTAGTTATAACGAAACGATGATGACTTGACGCCAGAAAACGTCTACGGAAGACGCCGATCTGTTGCAGTCCGCACAATTGGACCCGGCCGCCGTTCCCACAGGTATATTATAATTCATAAAATTACTATTGTATACCTGTCCCGCAATAACAATTATATAATTATAACTAAAAATGTTTTCGTCTGGTGTACTAATTATTGTTTTGTTATAATGACAAGCGGGAGAAATGTTTTTTTCTGGATTTTCTTTTTCGAAATTGGTTTTACTAATTAAAAGAAAATTAATACACTGAGGTGTACTGTGGACAAAATACAAAATATAGATGGTATATGCTCAAATTTATACTTCACATGATAAGGAAACCATCCATTAGTATCTCGAAACATTTTTTGATAAACTTAGCTCAGAATCGATTTAGCTCTGCTTTAAATCAAAAATAAAATCACCTATTATCAGCAACTTAATGTATTTTTCTGCAGGTACGATGGAACTTCGTTTACTTTCTAAAAACGCTTAAGAAATTGAGGAGTTAAAAAAATACAATATAATACAGTGTTTAAAAAATACAATTCATTGTCTTCAGTAAAAAAATTAATTTTATATAATTATTCAATAGACATTAAATTATAAATTTATTTTGACAGCATAATGTATTATATATATACCTAGGTACAGATTTTGACATTCATAGTTGTCTATATTTTGTATTCAATTTCATAACTATATCATTATAATAACGAGGCTAGTGCTTTTTTAGCATTATTATTTTTATTTATTTATTAATAACGAGTTTTAAATTACCGATTCAGAATTAATTTACTTAAAGACAATTTAAATTAAATGTAATTAGATCATGTCAACGATTTGCAAGCACGGTGTTGGGAACTGGTTGTCAAGAGTCACAAGTTTTTGTATAATTTCTCATGCAATTTCTGTTTTGCTATACCAAACATATAAACCAAAGAAATTATTGTTGGGTATTTAATAAAAATCACATTAAATAAACTTTTTATTAAATGTTTCTTCAATAAGTCTATAGACATTAGATCATAATATCACCTAATTATAATTTTTAATAGTTATACGCGTGAAAATGAATAATGATTATTTAATATCAAGGATAATTAATTAAATACAGGGTGATCCATTGAAATGTCTATACACTCAATATTTTGATAAGTTTCAATTTCTTGAAAATTTATTTCGTTAGGTTTATACCTTGAAATTCAATTCAAAAAAAATATTATTTTTCAATATTTTTATCGTTAAAATTGTTTAAGTTTTTACCTTTTTGAATGACGCCATTCATTTAAAATATTTTATATTCAGAAGTTAAATATTTTTCAGAGTATTTCAATCTATAAAGATTAAATTTCGAACAATTAGATCATAAGTTATAAGCCCGTACCCCACCGTACCCTAACCATATCATAACCATACCCCACAAAATGTTGTCCACTACTCTGCTAATCTAAACTTAAAATACTATTATAATTTATAACTAATGAACTATACCTACTTATCCTAGATTTGATTTTTATTGATTAAAATACTCCAAATAATATTCTGCTTCGGAGTATGAAATTCAAAATGTATGGTGTATTGGTGTCATCAAAAAACTAAAAACTTAAAAGATGATAGTGAAAAAATAGTTAAAAATATATATTATTATGATGATAGAAATTATGTTTTAAAATAACATCTAATTATACAAAAAAAATGATTAAAAAGAAGTTAAAACTTTTTGAAGTAATGAGTGTAGATGTCGTAGGCATATAGTCAAATCAGGCATTTTATTAAATGCCTAGGCATATAGTCAAAGAATTTAATGTTTATGCAATTTTACTATCCGCCAAGACATTTAGTTAAATGACTAGGCATTTCATTCCAACATTTAACAATGATAATATTATGCATGTTTAATGCAAACATGTCCCATTCAATTTGTTGATAATATTAAATATTAATATACATTATACATTTTTAATAAATATTTACTTTCTGTAATTTTGGTTGATTACACCGTAATGTATACAACATTTCTTGTAGTTTCAGTATTATTTATCACAAAATGTATGCTTGAAATTCAGAGATTACTTTGATGTTTAAATGATAATCCACTCATTTTTCATTGATAGTTTAATGACAATTTAATATAATATAGTGTTTGAAGTTTGAATTAAATACAGTATAGAACTATTTTAAATGCTATATAACTTACATCTTTTAACTATTGAATTTGCAAGCAATAAATTAATCGTTTTCACAGGAAATTCATGTTTTTATTTTGGTGCACTTTATAATATTTTAATAATTTCAAATATAAGATAAAAATCAACCATTATCATAATGCACCTATAGGTAGGTAATATTCTTATTGTTGATTAGCAAATTAGCAATTCCGTCTATGAGAAATGCATATTTTACGTATCAATTACCTAACTATACAAATATACAACTTAAAATAATAATGGACAATTTAATTAAATATTTTGGTAACAAATTAAAGCCAACTATGTTATACAATAATAAATAATAATAATAATATATTATTAATTATTATGCACAATTGAACAATTTTATTGAATTCAGATTATTCTTGTATTGTGTGGCTCGTATTCTTTCGATCCATCGATTCCGAACAGTATCATAATATTGCGATACCGATCAGGGCCGAGACAAAGAAGACTGGGACATCCACATTAAAACAAATAAAAACAATAAAAATATGCTCTTAAATTTCTCTGTCAAAGAAGTTCCTGATTCTTGTGTACTTCAGTACTTGTATTACCTAAGACTATTCAATAAATAATAATAACATGAATAGCAACTATGGTACATACCTATGGTACCAATGATATAATTGATTACAATATCGATCACAGCCTTCTATCCTGGGAATTCCCGAAAATACCAAAATCTTTCAAAATGGACAACTTTTTTTCAATAATTATTTTTAGTATCATAGACGGTCCTGTCGTTTCATTTATGTATTATTTACAGAAGCATAACTGTATTATTTTATACATTTTATTTAATAATTTCAAAATGTATCATAAAGACCTTTTTACAGTACAGAATAGTTCATCATTAGGTACAGAGAATATTTATAATAGAAGAAAAGAGTACATCATTTTATTCAAAACGAGTACCTTATGGCACAACTAGAGGGAGTCTATGGAAGCTTAGCCCTCCCTGACTACAATTTTAGCCCCTCCAAAAATATTCCGTAAGATACAAGCCCCTTATAGATAATTTTAAATTATAATCTTGATAATCTAGGTATTAATGAAACCTTTTTAAGTAGTTTTTATATTCTGAAAAAGTCACACATATGTTTTGTTAATTGTTCTTTATCATCGTATAACACTAGGAGTGTCAACAAAATATTTAATATTTATTTTCTCTATTCTCTAGGTACCTAGTTAAAATCTATAGGTATAAAGAGTATACACAAGGAGTCTAGTCGGTCTAGACCCTCAGGAACAGGAACGTGTTCCGAAAATCTTTTTCAGGATTTCTTATGTCGAATACATATTATTTGTAATTATTATAAATTTGTATAGCACCATTTGATTATTTATGCTAATTTTCTGTAGTATCTCCTGTTTTCGTAAAGTAATATATTTAGTGTATATATTTAGTGTTCAAAATATTGAAGAAATAATAAAAGGTTTTATAGATTGTATTATGAATTTCATACATTTAATTGTTGTTAACAGTTATACAAGATTTATTGGATTTCATTGTTATTTAGTACCTACCTACATTGTTAGTAGTTTGTTTGTTTGTTTATTTTTATTCATTAATGTAATAAAAAAATCAAATAATTGAAATGAGGTAAATCGTATCCTGACCAATATAGCATCAATTCCGCCAGAACATGTATATAATTCCAATTGAAACCTAACTTATACTATAAATAGTAAGGTAAAACCGCTTTAAGAATTTTTCTTCTATACAAATTCAGCAAAATTCTTGAATATTCGATGAAATCCACCATTATTTAGCCTTATGATGAGTAAAAGATAAATTACAAAAAATTTAAGACAAGCTATAATTTTATTTACATTTATATTGGAAAAAAAACTAAAAAAATAGAATATTTCAAAATATATGCCCATAACGAATGATTCAAAACAAGTCAATATATTTTGAAAATTGTGTGGTGTATAGAAAACGATAAAATAAACATTTAATGAAAATTTAAACTACCCATGGTTAATAGTTTTTGAATTACAGCTAAATAAAAAAAGAAGGTTCCACATTATGTGGCTAATAAAAAATGTACTTGACTTTTAGATACAGTTTTTTTTTGATAAATGTTGAAAAACTTAAGAGGAATCTCGTATGACGTTTTCAAATCATAGATATTTTACTATGAATTTTTAACTCAAAATAATTTGCTAATTTTCGTGATTTTGATGAATTTAGTCAAAATTCTAACTTCAGACGCCCTTAAAAAATCATTTTGAATTTAAGCTCAACTTTTTTTTATTCCACCAACAACCTACGAAGAGGTTTATATTAAATCTTCAAGTGTTTCAAGTGTTCAAGACCAAAACCGAGGAGCATTGCAAAAAAAATATATAAAGTGATTGAGAATAAAGCGACGGACTGCGTTGGCGATTGATAGTGCACCCGCCATGGACATATAGATATTTATGTCTATGGCGCCCGCCTTCCGACCGACCAACACCCTCTCATAAAGTCACAAACCGAACCCGACGACCGTGCAGCCGCGTGACGTCTACGCCAAGCTGCAATGCGACGAGTGAGAAAAAGTGGCGAGGGACTGTTTAGTAATAATAATAATTATTATAATACGCGCCACGGTGAACAATATAATTGTCCAGGGCACACGTCTTCGTTGTCCCGCGTGCCCGTTAATATCGCCACCAATGAGCGGAAGCCGTACACGACACGAAGCGATACGCGCGCGCGTGCCAACGGCTAACCGCCACGTAATAATATTAGGCTATATTACACTCGAGCGGCGCGCGCGCGGTCCCTTTTTGGATACATGTATATATTATTATGGTCTCCATGACAACGGTCAGACAACCAGCCCGGTCGGCCAACTACAGCGGGCCCAGCCAGGGACTATAATCGTACGCCCGCCCCCCGCGACGACGCGCAAAGGGTGCTCGAACACACCCTCTTCTGCCCGACGTATACATATTATAATGCGTGATGTGTATTTCGAATTATTGTTGAAATTCAAAGAAAATAAAAACACCATTATAATATATTATGCTGCACGTAAAAAAATATTTTTATACAAAAACATTTCTGTGAATATAAAGTTCTGAACCTTTGTTGCTGTTGTTGCCCGCCGCTGCCCGACACTCGTACGGATTCTTTGTCTTTAAAAAAAATACATATAATATACATTTTTACGGCAAAAGTACACAGAATACAGTGTTATGTGAATTAAATTATAATGTTTGCAAAAAAAAACTCAAGTTGGCCAGGGTTTATTTTAATTTGGCGTTTTCTTCATGCCTTCATCACAGTTTTCTTATTGATAACTTAATAATGTATAGTATACAGAGCTCTATAGAGGTATCTATGCAATTTACTAAATTATATTTTCCTGGATAGTAATCGACATTTAATTTAATTATATAATTACGAATGACGTATCAATTATTTAACTTGGCCATTGGCGTAAATATATGTAACTTGTTATGAGAGATGGAAGCATGCAATTGAACCTATATTGCGTTCGTTGATAGAATGTGGTTGCACATAAGCCAATCAATGTACCGTCATACACCGCCGCAACCATCCGAAATTACATTTCACGGCTTCTTTAAAGAAGCGAAGTATCCAAATTCCTTTGGTGAATATAGTACCTACGTATAATATGTCTAAATAGACTTGCTTCTTTGAATTTCACCTAATATGATTGCATTTTGGGCTTCGATTCGACATTTTCTACTTTCCTCGCATGTATGCCCATCAAACGCCTCGACAGTTAGTTTTTGACTGTGTACCAATTTGCCACATTTGTCGACAATCCACTGTCACAAGTTAGTTTTTTAGCTTGTGAATCAAGTAAAGCGATTGATGTTGTGCCTGGACATTTTATTTCCACTGTGAGAGTTGGAATTTCAGTCACCCTTATTCCACTTGTGCCTCAGATTAGTTCCTGGTGGGGTCCCTACTTCCAAGTTTACATCGTTACAGTTTAGCATGTCTTACATCATGTATCATAGAACCATTATTATTGAACTGCTCCTGTCATGACAGGAACGTCATTTCAGTGATTCTCTGTGCTCTAACTACTTTATCTCTGATATCTTTGATATTTTCAGAAGTTGATTGACACTCATCGGGTTGCCGTCATAAGTGTTGTTCAAAAACAATAATAGTTGTAGGACTTGACAGTTGTCTTTAACCATGATTTGAGATAATCCCCTGCAATGATTTACAAATTTACTGATTTTAGTTGGGTTTTTCGGGTTTTGTTCAGTTCTTGGTCAGTTCCCTCTGATAGATTTTCAGTTCTCCGATTGTTTCATTGTTTCTTTATCGCATAGAATCGGTTTTAAAATAAAAATATCTGCACCCAGCACATATTTATGTTAGACAACTTTTTGTTTTATAAAATGATAAAATAAACACACCTTTAAAACCGTTCTATTAGAACGTACACCCACATACATGGACAATGATATACCCCTCAACGTACACTCGAATCTTAAAAATATACAATACCTATAGGCTATAATAGAGTATAATTAGGTACACGTTTAAACAAAATATGATGTTCCCAAACACACAAGTCACACACGTAAACTTCAAATATCGTATTCATACTCACACATAGTCACATGCAAATACAAAATATCGTGTTCATAAATATTGCACTTTACTTGTCAAGTCAAATAAACACATACACAAAAATAAGGCTGAGATTGTACCAAAATCGACACAATTATTTGTGCAGTAGGTTAAAGCACCGAAACACACACACGTCAACTCAAAATATTTTCGTTACAAATACGCACTTCAAACGTTAAGTTTAATTATAAATTAAGAAATACTGATTAGAACAAAAGTTATTTAATTTGTCAAGCCTTTCTGTGACTCCCGTTTAAGAAATAATTACACACATGTGCACAATGTTAAAATTCGTAAAGTAACAAGCTATTATGGCATCATAATGTAACACACTCCACACAATTAAAATATAATAAATATGTTACTGTGAATGTCCGCAATTTGTGAGTGCTGAAAACCACCTATAGTGAATGTCGACATACTCCTACTAAATTGGTGAATGTTGAAAAATTAAAATAATATAGACATGTACTAGTGAATGTTGACACTTACATTACGATTTTTGTCAATTTTGACATACACAACACGGTTTTGGTTAATGTTGACATAGGTTACGTATTCGTACATAATATTATAGTTATAGACAATAATATGAAATAGAAATGATATGTTCAGTTTAATTAGTTATAAATATTAACAATTACTTTTATTAATTATTATTATTATTATTGTTATTATTATTATTGAACAATATTATGCCCTTATTATTAATTTTAATTATGATTATTTTGCCATAAAAAAATTATTATTTTAAAAAAACCGTGAAAATTGTTCTATTTATTGCAACATGCAATTTTGAACTTCATAAAATGACAACATTTCTACAACCACACTTTTTTGAGGTGCTCTTTGTTTTCCAATTACCTTTGATTACCACCGGTTAATGAATTTGATACAGAAGTTTGGCTTAAGGAAATTTGTTGATCCATTTGTACATCAGTGATTAATATTAAATTTTCTTTACATGTTGAAAACTGGTTTCTGGTGTATAATTGATTTATAACACCATTTTTGGTACCTAATTTTTTCGATACTAAATTATTAAATTTATTATAAAATACTTCACGTATGTTTTCCATTAAAAAAAAATGTTTTGGTTACAGTGCCAACCACTATACTACGATAACACTATAACTACGTTGAATGACAATATCATACTAAATATTAACGACACAGCACATAGCGTGGTGGTTATCCAGATAAAATAAAACATTTCATCGAAATTATCAACTTGTACAATACCGTGTATATTAGTTAATAGGTAGGTACTAGAATATTAGATGAGATCAGATTAAATAATATCTAAATTACCAACATTCACCAATATCGTTATATAAATGTTGACATTCGCTAGTAAATGTTTACAAACAGTACAAATTTAATCAATACGCCAACAATCGCCAATGACTTTAGTGTATGACGACATTAACCAGTGACTGTCAGCACTCAACACATTCGCAGTAACATATAGACACAACCAGTGGCGTGTAACATAGGGTCCAAGTGTAGCTGAGGCAACACCTTAAATATGGGTGGGTGGGTATTGATAAAAGAAAAATAGGGAATTTTATAGGTCGGTATAACAGTATAATGAGGGGTAGGTCACCAACAATTATTAGAGCAACAACTATTTTTTTTATGGTACACGCCACTGGACACAACGGTGTTCCATATAGTGACCTGCGCATCATGACATCAAGCGATCACTGTTGGAGAACCCCACTTTCTGTCTTTTCTAGTTCCTAAATAATATCATAGTTTAACCTAATTTTTTATGTCGATATCCATATAATAATTAATAATTGTTATAGGCTTACTAATATTTACTGACTAAGGATTGGATATTTTGGTTATTTAACCTAGTTGTTTTTTAACTTAGTTTTTTATAACCCTATATTATTATTTATTACCTAAATATACGTTTAATGCATAATACAATAATGTGTACCCAAATATTTATTTAGTGTACGTATGGAAAACCGCAGATAACAGCAATTATAATGTCGTTCATTATAATATAATATTTATTGTTGTATTATGTATACATTTCAATTAAGTGTCAATACCTTCAAATCGTTACAAGAATAGCGTACACCTACCTATGTTATGACAATTAATATACATGCAGAAAGAGCGTATTTATATTCTATACACATTCTATAAATATAATAACGCTATATTGTGTGTTCAATAATAGAACGTTGTTTGTCACGTGCTATTTTTCAGGGGAGGAGACGGTATGGCCGGGGGTTGAGTGGGCGTCGGTGAGGGGTTCGATGGATTGGTGCGCAGGTGGTGAAGATCTGCTGGGCGACCCAACGCTGCTGGTGGCTGCGGGAATGCTACACGGGCCAACGCAATTCTGCACAGACACTTGCTGTACGCCCGGACTGGAGCAGCCCTGCAACGAACAAGCAGTTCAGTTCCAGCAGCCAGCGATCGTTACAGTAGGCGGATCATACAGGTAATAAATTGTTTTTTCATTAAATAAACAAACTGAAATTGTTTTGGCCTATTCATAGAGTAGCTTAAACTAATAAAAGTTAATTCTATTCGACGTGGTAGTTTATATGATATTATTCGGTTGCTTTTAGGTCGAAAAATCGTGTCTCTATCGTACCGTACGTTATGTTATACGAATATTCAAATAAAATACACCGCTATGATTTACAATCATTACCCGGGACGGGTCCAGGGGCTATACGGTCCACCCCGTTACATTTCCAATCATTTCGAAGAAAATGTCAATGGTTTTTTCCGTTTATAATAATCAAATTGTTGCATATTAATATAGTATAATAGATTTTCTAATTCAATAAACTATTTTGAATATCCTAGCAAAAAATAATGAATAATAATTATTAAACAACATACCTAATATGTGAAATTAAGTTTAAAAGAAAAATATTTGTGTGCTATTTGTATACACAATGGTCAACGGCCACTCCCTTTCCACTCTGAATTCAAGATTGTACGATATTATTTACATAATATTATCAGTCTATTTTTTACTTTATTGTATGTAACATTTATTAATATATTGTATTAACATTAAACAAACAATCTTACATTATTTTCTATATTATTTAAATGTTTGATTTATTTACTAGGTAATATTATGTTATTAATATAATTGACAATTAGTTATAATTACAGGTAAAATGAATAACAAAATAGGTAACCGTTCTGATGTACAGTAGATAGGTGCCGAGTGTACCTCGTTGTCGTAATGTCGTGTAGATCACTTTTAAAGATTCATTATGAATGTGTTAAAACTGAATTCAATGATAAACCAATACACATAATGAAAGACGATCTGAGAGTTGAAGACGGTCCAACTTGTTGGTACCTAATCAAACAGTTATTGTACTAAATAGATATATTAAAATGTAAACACATATTTTTAGTTATTTCTGATTATTTTAAACTTTTTTGTTTTTAACCCACCAAAGCACGTAGAAACTAAATTTAATTTTCAAAAAGAAACGTCCCTCTATGTAGATGTTTGGAACATTTTTTTCCATTTTTTCTAGGAAAAGTGTGAAGACGCAAAATGGGTGGTTGTAAAAATAATGCATCCATAGATCGCTCCTCTCAAAACCTTAAATTTTAAATATGTATTTTTAACTAACAAAATAACTGGTGAAGTTATTCCTAAAAATTATTCTGCACACTCAGCGAAAATTTCCTGTACATACCTAAGAATTTGTCAGATTAGGTACTAGAGTCAATACTAAATATTAATCGTTTAAGGCAGTGTTTCTTATCCTGTGTTCAGCGGAACCCTAGGGTTCAGCAGTCCTCACTTAGGGGTTCTTAATAATGTTATGTAATAACTAGGTACATAGTAAGCACAAAATAGTGTAAATAGGAACAAAGAAATATAGTATATTGTGATCATGGACTCATGGTATAGATAGCTTAAAACTAATCTAAATATTTCCAAAACTTATCTGCTGGTCCAATCCGAGATTCACTTATAATTTTTGACCCAGACAAAACTCTAGTTAGGTTAGTATATATTATATATATTAAATTTTAAATCAATTTCATTATAATATACTCTGATACTCATATGCTGGTTGTCATGGTCAAAGTAAAACATATATTTTTGAAATTATAATTAACTATTATAATCTACCTTTTATTTTACTGATGCACAAACATAATCGTCTGGCGAATTTTTTTTAATCAAATCAATAACCCTCGTTTTCGAATATATTGCATAATATTATTATTAACCTCTAATAACCAACTTAATACGTATACTACCTAATCGCAATTCGAAATTATAACTTAAATTTAAGTTTATCGTGTTAAAATAGCAAAAATTACATTATATCTATATATATCCGTAGTTATAGGCTAGGAACATCGTATTATAAAATAAAATAAAACAAACTTGAAGGTAGGTATGGGCCATATTCGTAATTATATACCTTAAAGTTAAGGGGCCTTCAGCCCTAGCATTTTTATAATTAGTAAACACCCCCCGAACATGTTACGTTACTTGCTAGTTGCTACTAAATATAAACGTACTTCAATTAAAATTTTATTTTATTATTAAATAATCGATATAGAAACATAATTTGATCCTAAATAAGTTTGATCCAACGCTGAAACTGTTTAGGAACTGTTCTTTCATTAGCACCGGAACTTGTCGGAACAGAAAGCAATGAATCATAAATGTAGCATTTTATATAAATTTGGAAAACAGATTTTTGATCAATACTCTTTAGCCTCTCAACTCTTCCGCTGATGATTGTAAAATGATGATAAAATTAAATGATTAACAATTGATTATCCAACCAAAATTTCTAATTTTTATTCGGTCTTATGCATTTTATATTTATTAAAGCCTCAAAAAATGGGCAACAAAATCTGATCAATTTATTATTATAATAATATACTGACATTGACCAGAACAGAATACAGACTATCAGACACAACCGTTGCACTTGTACTTACAGGAAGATCCAAGGACAACAAAAAATAATAATTAAATAAAATAGTATAAAATCCGATTCTGTTTTTAAAAAAAGCCACTATAAGTCACTGGATCAGTGATCGTCTTCCGGTCATCGTTACTTGTTAGTCCTTATCGTCGTGTATACATTTATGTGTTACAAAAATCAAATCACGAGTCTATATTCTTCTGGGTGAAGACTATTTTTGTGCTTATTTTATTGACAACTACAAAGACTCATCACATAAACGATATTTTAAATTAAAATTGATTAATGTACCTAACGTTAGTGTGAGTATAGGAATTATGACAGGGGGACTAATATAAAAGTTAGAGGGCTTAGCCCCCCCCCCCCAAGCTTGGCCCTAGTTACGTCTATAGTGAGGACACTGTATATTATTACATATACAGACATACAGTCAGTTAAAGAACTTAGGATTACTCTGCGGCGCCAGGACGTCAGCTAACGTCAACTACCTGTCCGCACTTCGTAGGTATACAGTCGCCGTCTAGCCGAGAAGTGGTACAACCACTATTTGCCGCAGCAGCGAAACATTTGAGATAACATTGCTTGTAAAATAAAATTTATGGCAATAGTAATGTCGGGTACGGAGTAAGGTATTTAATAGAAGCCGACAGACGAGTCATTGACGGACTACTGAGGTTTGACTTTATCGTTAATTTTTTGTCATTCATTTTTATTCAGAAATGCATATACAGTTATTTAAAATTATTATAAAACGGAAACCTCATATCTTCCATATTTTTGGTAGTACCTGTATGTAGTTTATAATATATTTTTAAATTTTGAATGAATTGTAAAATATCACAATGTTCTAAACATTTGGAAAAATGTAGGTATTATTTTGCTTTAGTCATAATTATAAGTTTTAATCATAGTTTTTCCGAAATATCAGAATGTTAATTGCCTATAGGTATTTTTATTCATAAATGCATTTATAATTCATATTATCAATGAAATTAGGATGCGTTTGAGAATAAACGATTATTTAAATGATTTGGATTGGAGCTTTCCAAAAAGTTATTCTGAGACAGATAACAGATATGCTGATAATTAAAGAGATAGGTATATAAATTAATATAACATACGCAAATAAGCCACATTCGGTACCAAATAGTTTGATCACATTTTATTTTAGCTAGTTATAACATATTATGAATATTTTTTCTCTTCAAATGTATAATAATACATTATACCTTTTATATTTTTAAGTAACGTAAAAAATAATAATTGTATTATATTACTTGCATCAATAAAAGAATATATTAGTAATAATTCAAAAATACGATTTTGCATAATACTAATATAATTCATATTTTTTTTTTTAAATTCTTTATATCAAAAATATTTTTTTTCATATTTGAATTATATCAACCAAGAAATACGTAAAAACAGACTGATAATTATTAACAAAAAATCGTTATATTATGGCATAAAAAATGACAACTTGAATGGAGACTATGCAAGTATCATTTAAACAAGAAAGGTAAATATATAAATAGTATTTAATAATATAATATCCATTAAGTTTATAATTTTAATAAATGTTTAAAAAAATTCATTATATAATAATATCAAAGAAATGAGTTAGGTATGACTTGATGACTAAACAACTATACAAATTATTAATTGATACTTATTATTATTGACTTTTATAGTAAAATAACAAAGAAAATTACTGGTGAAAAATCATAATCTGATAACTATTAACTAGCTCGCCTTTTATCAATGTCAACATCTTTTTATCACCAGTTTCATAGAAATATTTATAGTCACTGAATCACGATGTTAATAATTACCAAATTATCAAATAACATCAAGTTTATTATAATGCATAAATGTGTCATGTTGTCATTTAGAAAAGTAGTAGCTATAGTTTTAGACGTCGTATAATAATAATATCGAACTTAGTAATATATATATTTTACATCAATATAACCATAGATTCATATTTATCTATAGTAATAATAATTGCTTTAATTATCCTCACATTGTCATTGCAACCAATCTTCTCTTTTTCAATTTAAAGACTATACCGAAAAGTGCCCATCAATCAGACCCTAAAGGGTGAAAATATCATAAAAATAAACTTATACCAACAAATTTGCTTTTTATTAAACATCAGAAAATAAATATAATATAGATTAACGAAGTACCTACGTAATACATCATGTAGTATAATATCATCAGTAAAAATAGTTTATTATTTACAATTGAAAAAAATTATTATCATTTAAAATTGTCTAGGAGTGTGACTACTGATATTTCAACTCCTTGCACCCCCTAATGGGCGCCTTTTCGAGTATGTTGCCCTCTGCATAATGTATTAATGTGTTGTTTTATAAGAGGGATTTTACAGATATTTAATATTTCATATAATAACCTGATGCAGGAGCCCCAGATCCCTACGACTAATATTAATGTGCTGAGAGATGGGCCTATACTACATAGTACATACATTTCCAAAAAATATTCCCAAATGTTCATATTAAGTACAAAGTTTCTAAATATTTTGGCAGAAAAGTGTCACCGAACCCTTTTTTGTTTTTGGCCGAAACGGGCATCTCCGGTTATTTATTATACTGTATATTATATAAATAATTACCTACCTATTCAAAACTCAATCTTGTAGTTTTTTCATTTTAGATTTTTTAAAAATGACCATATGATGCCTAAGTCATAGGTGATATTATCTCAAACAGCCTCACAGTGTCACATTATTCATATTATCATTCTACCACATCCTATATCGACTAGCTATCAGCAACATTGATTTTGTCCTACACCGCCCCACCGAATTCTCACTCAACTAATACATCAATTATACATCGTTGTCAGCTACAATAGTCGATACCTACCTACTGATAATATAGGTAGATTCGTAATGTAATGTAACCTGTAATGCTGTATAACATAATATAATCGATGGAAAAAATATAAAATACAACGACGATAATATTGTATATTTCATATTAAAAGGAGAGTTTTACGAAAACCAGATTTCGACAAAATCAAGTTAACTCAAAAAATAATAACTATGTATCTATTAGTATTGTATGTTGAATGTAGATACATGTAATTCTTACAGAATCTTTTTTATTAGCATTTTATAAGCACCATACAATTTTCAAAACATTTTATTAACTCTTTTAAATTGTTGTCGATGAAATTTTTTGTTACCTACTAATTATAGTAAAATAAATTACTCTGACAGCAATAATATTATAAAATATAGGTATTCATAGTTATATCTGCTGACAGACCACCTTCGTTCAGAATCATTTTTTATAAAATGAGTTTATATCATTGAATTCAAATTTAACACATTGTCCACACCAAAATAAATGTAGAGCAAAGACGCAAAGGCCCGTTTTTATTTCTAAGACTATGCAGGTTGGATTGGACTTCGATTTAAAAAACTCTATTTTATGAAATTTAATAAAAGTCTAACACTCATATATATATATATGTATACCACAAATGTTTAAGTATTTTGAAATGTATTTCTTTATAGCGACTAAAACATTATTTAAAGTTAACTGGAGTCCACCAGCGTGACATGAATAAAGTTTTCTTCTTTCAAATAAAAAACCAAAATTACCCAAATCCGACTATTCTACGAAGCGTGATCGTTTTTCTTGTAGTCGTTAAAAATTTAAAATGGTGTGATTTTATTTTACCGACGCCTTATTGTATTTTAGGTACAATACGGCACCCAAAAACTATTGAAAATGCATGCTTTTTGCCTCTCCGTAAATTGCCTGGTTCGACAGCTTCATATGAATTACACTATACGTATAAATCGTAATACAATATATATACATTACAACATATTTATGAATTGAACATATAATATATTATGATGTGTATTAATATGAATTATTATTAAAAAAAAACAGTCGTGTAGGTGAGTGTACAAATATGTGTTAATACGAAGAATTTATGAATTATATGTACCAATGTACCTAAATAGTATATAAAAAATTATATTTGTATAGGTTATGCATTAATACACTGTTGACTATTACAATATATATATTCAATATGTCATAATAGTGTCGGTGTGCATCTTATTCTTACCTTGGCGAGTCCTTGTGCCTGGAGGGTAATCCTCAGAAAACGGGCAAGTGGGCAACATGTGGGCTTTGCCTCGTTTAGTTGGAATATCGAAGACCGTTTACTTGTACCAAAATATCTTGGGTAGGTAGGTGCTGCAAATTGCAATAGAGCATTGTATTATCGTGGTTGTTCAGCAGCTAACTCTAACCGTAAACCGACAATCGGAGTGGTAATGTCGTCACACAGCACACAGCGTATGTAATAATTGTATTATATGTCAACGTGAAAACGTTCGATCGAAAGAATCTAGCCAAAAGATTGAATCAAGAGAAAATATTAATTAAGAGAAAATATAGTAGATAATGGATACCAGGCTCACAAGACAAGTGCCGTAGACTATCATTCAGCGGTATTTAAACTGTTTCATGGCACGACTCTTTCGTCCCTTACTCTCTTCGTAATATTTTGACCCCCCCCCCCCAGATTATTATTTGCGATTTTTTAATCAACAGTGACGGTCTACGATTACAATATAAGGTCGATAATATAATAATGACTTCAGTGGGTACTATGTAGAACCGAAACTTCTAATTTCCATAATAGCTATAGTGATTGAAATAATATTTATATATTAAATTAATTTTGTTTCCGTGGTACTTTGACGAGACTGCCTTCACCAACTACCGCTTTACCACTGGAAGTTGGGCAGCGCAGTTTGATGTTTGAATATCAGTGCGATAGATAGCGATCGCATATACGGTTTAGAACTTCACCGAAATTCGAGGAGGTACGCTTGTCCAGAAGGCGGGAAGTCGCCACAGAATCAGAATTTGTATTAGAATTCATTGGTACGCCGGTACGATTTTTTTTTGTCTTGCAATGTTTACACTATACAAATGTCTAAACACGTCTGGATAGGCTCCCAAGGGGTTGAAGTGATCTGTGACCAAATATACCTCTGGGTTAAAAGCAAATGGTGGTTTATCCGTTAAAAAAAATCACTGTTCTTCCAGTTTTATTGTTGGTCAGTCATCCTCCCTTGAGAAAAGCTTCCACTGAAATAATCTTGAGTTTTGAGACGAAGTTAATGTAATATCTATTACTTAAAAATAAGGTGTAGTTTGTAATACCTATGGCTATACCTTTGCAACTGGTTACGATCAACATCGCGATCGCCACTTTATACTATATCATAAACCGCTGTGTCCTACGTTAAATATTATATATTATTTAACTCTTAAATAAATTCATTTAAGTGCACATTGAACTACCACTATTAGGCGCGGATCCAGAAAAATTGAATGAGGGGTGATCAAAAAAAGAAAAATTGGTTATGCATTTCTATTTTAGATTACGTTATTTTTAATAAAAATGTATTTTACTGGTGGCTTAGACGACAGAGTGTGGCCGCGAACTCATAGGCCTCTGAATCCGAGCCTGCCATAATATAATATTCAATATGTTAAAAAATGTAATAAATAATATTTTATAATTCATTTAGCTATGCATGTTTTAGTATTATATAATGCATAACATATATTATATACGATATTTAATTATAAAAATTACAGCAAGCCGTGCGGAGACATGGCCGACGTACTAATGTCTCTCAAACACACAGTGCCAACTCCACAATCCTCAGTAGACGAACAACATCAACACGACCAGGCGTATGGGCTGTCCACAAATCACAACGTAAGTACTAAGTATAATATGATATTATATATGTTACCGGCAATGTGGATAATCCGGTATTTTGCAAAATACCTAGGTATTATATAAAATGCCAAAAAACACTCGGAAATATACATAATACGAGCTTTGCCTATAGGCTATAGGTATTATATATAATGCCCAACGTGGAGTAGGAATTATGACAAAAATAAACAAAATTGCAGGGTATCGCTTATTACCAACGACTTAACTTATAGTTTACTGTATAAATGCGCATACCGTGTCCGTGTGTGCACGATTTGATGCAATAAGGATTAAAATTCTGAAGTTCTGAAGCGGTTGTCCGCCAGAAGTCAGTTCACAGTATGTCAGAAAAAGCTACTACAAATTTACGTGATTCCAACAGACACAGAAGTGGCGTTACGAACAGTCGACAGGAACTTTTACTAGCCAATGATTTTTTTAATGTGTGTTGTAGGACCAAGTGTCAAAATGAAAAGTGCATTTTCCTTAAAAATAATGTTTAGTGCAATTCAAAATGCTATTTTCTACAACATGTTGTAATAAGTAGCTAGTACTTTAAGTTAATGCATACATAATAGTATTTAATATAACAATAATATTAATAATATGGCAATACCTATGTGTAAAAACATAATAATAGATATACATTAAATAATAAATTTTGTAATACGAGTAATAATATATAATAATTCTAAGAATCTTAATATTATTATTATTATTATTATTATTATTATAACATATGATAAATTGTTATTTTACTTTGCCTAAAAAAAATTGGTATTTTACATAACGCCCAGGTATTATACATGAAATAATATTGAAAATCATTTGTTTTATTTACATTGCCTAAAATACGTCGGCAATAATATATACATAATACCTAGGCATTTTTCAAAATACCTGAATTATCCATATTGCCGGCGACATATACATTCAGTGTGAACCCTCACTATACATTTCTAAGACGCTGGGAAGTTTCACGCATGGAAGGTAGAATAAGTTTATTAAAAAAAAAAAACAGTTGATTTTTAAGCCAGTAGGTAATACTATAATATGTATTTATTTTCTACATACCTATCGATTCAATTTATCGGCAGAAAGCGTAAAAATCTCTGCCCGGGAATATAGTTGCGTTAAAAATCAGGATCTGGACTTATGATAAGCGCAGCGATATTAATATGTTAGGGAGCGACCCAACGATCCAACTAAATATTTCAAGCTGGAATAAAGACTAATTATAATCCTATAACGTATCAGGACTCGTATATTTACTTACATCTTATTCCTGAAACACCTCGCAGTAATCCGTTGTATTTTTATTTCTAAGGGGTATGGTAACTTTAATTATAATAAAAATGTTAAAGTACCAAACTTTCTTAAATTACCAACTAAAAAAAGATACCAGACCCCAGGTGTGGGACAGTAGTTGGCCGCAGACACTAACGTGTTCTGAGGTCAAGCATCGGCCGGCGTCTCTAGCTCCCGGATGGGTGGCTACCCGGGTTCTTAGTGATGAATCCTTGCCGTATATACACGTGTTCCATACCCTCCTCCACAATAAAAACCAAGAGAAAACGATCTAGTTGAAGCCCTAAAAGCAAAAAAAAAAGATTCCTACCGTATTTTCTGTTGATTTAGTACATAAGATTTTATACATATATATTTCACCGTATTTTTATAAAGTATTATGTAAATAGTAATATGAAACCTACGCGTGCTTTAAAATTTCAAATATACGTATCTGTATCAAACTATTAATATTATCTCGTCAATTATAGCCATGTTAATATTATTTTATCTATTAAATTAATCAGGCGAGTATACAAGGGGGGTTCTAGGGGTTCACCCCCCCTCGGAATTTCAGGAAATTAATTGCCCATCATAATGAGAATTACATTCTCATTTAGTGCTCGATCACTATCTCTAGGTACAATAGTCAATCGGACTACCACATGATTACATCAAAGTAAATATAGATTTAATATGAAACCCCGATGCAAGCCGATATCATTTTTATTACAATAGCAACGATGAACGAAGTTTGACGGAAGTGCCGATGCGATAATGATAATAATATATAATATCTAAAATGTCTTTTGTCAATTTAATACATGTTTGACACTCGGTTAGATTATATAAGTATCAAAATGTACAACCAACACCCCCTCCCCCCAAAGAAAAAGTATTTTTTTGTGTACGCGCCTGAAATTAATATCACTCAACGAAGCAATTTTATAGTAATCATAAATGCATAGAATGTATCGATCTGAACATCGGTTTTAACATGAAATATATAGAAATTATATTTGTAAGTCAAAGAAGTTTACAATTACATTATTACAATTGAGTTATTATAGTAGAATATATGTATAGTGCAGTCGCGGGTATTACAGTTAAGTGGTCTGCCGGTCTGCGCACTTCCATAACAACTTGTGCTTTGTTTAAGTTAAATATTAATGATACATATATGATATAGGAAAGATAAATTTAAAAATGTACTATTTAATTAATTTCTTTTTTAAATACATTTTTAACTAAAACCAAATGTTATAAAAGAATACGTATTGAATAAAGTAAAAAATTAATTATAATTTGCACTCTACTGTCTGAATATAGACTGGGCAATTCTATAATATATTCCGGGCAACGTACGTACCTATATATTATATACCTTAAGTCTAAAGGCTATAGTTTTGTCTGCATCTACCATCAAAATCGGGCCGTTTTCGTCAAATTCCAAATACCCAAGAATTTAAATAAACGTAATTGTAATCTGAGAACATAACATATTATGTAACAACGTCCCAAAAACGTTTGAAAATCATCCTGCTAGTCGCCAGACTTGTAAAGGGACTTTTCAATTGCAAATCACTAGGGTACAATTACATCGCAAATCAAATACATTTTTTAATATAATATTATGTCTGTACATACAGGATGATTCGCAACCACTGGTCGACTATGGCGGTTCGTCGTACGGCGATCAGACGTGCTGGACCACGCTCGGAGGTGGCCACCAGCAGCAACAGGTCCAACAGCACCAATTCCCCAGCATGAGTGTGAACGTCAGCATGAACATGACTATGCACGGGTACGCTCCGATACACGGGGACGCTCAGTTCGGATGTCAACCGGTAAATTGTTTAGCTTTATTAAGATTATAACATATTTTACCTCACACAATCTTATACAGGTATTATGTACCTATTGTACCTATATAATGTAATGATTAAAGCACCACGATTTCATAATTCAAATCGTATATGGCACCGCAACGTCCAAGTTCTTAGGTAAAATAATACATTTCATTTGAACCATGAAAAAAATGTCATTTGTATTATTATTCAATTATATTATATTTTGCAAATAGGCATGTTGATAAAATTAAAATTAAAACTTATAGCACTCTCCACTCGTGTTCTAGTGACCGAAATTTGCATATTTCTCTTAATAACTTAAAAAGTAGCTAGGAACTTCTGAATTGTAGTCCTAATTAGTTGTAAAATTAATTGTTGCATAATATATAAAACGTTTTTTTATTATTGTACCTAAAATTGTTCATAAAAATAATATATTGACGGTAAAGGAATAGTACCCATACCTATATAAATATTCCAGTATAACCTAGCTTAAGACATCATATTATTCATATTTCGATTAATTCAAACTTTATTTACAACCATATATCGACTCGTCGACGAAATATATTTACAAAAAACAACTGACTTATTAATACTTAATTACTTAATTTCGTTCATAGTTGGTTTTTTGGAAATCTTTTTTCCATCTTATCCAATATATAATAATGTATTATATTATAGGCATTATGAAAAATCAATAAGGTATATGCATATTTTTTTATCACAATTATTATTATATAGCTTTTATAAGATTATTTTAATTTTTATTCGATTTATGTAATATGTTAAAACAGTTTACTTCCAATTGTTTTATTTGATTATTTTTCACACAGTTGTAGGTAATAATGTAGATAAAACAAACTGATGTCCGCAAAGGGGACCGCCCATTAAATTATTTAATTAATTGTATTAATAGAGATATCAATATGTGCCATTGATATAAGAAGTATCATTATAATATGAGGGGCTAAGCCCCTCACGGCTTTGTTTCCTCTACATTTTTTTTGGGTGATTTGCGCCTATGACGTTGGTTCAAAAATAATTTAAAATGTCCCGTCCACGACCCAAAAATTATTTAAATATAAATTTTTCCATTTGTCAATAATTGGCACTCAATATTGAAAAATAACTAAGGCCCCGGGAAATCTCCGCGTAGCTGGCTGTCCATACCGACCCGGGTTACAATGATTCAACAAAATTAATTTTCATAAATAATGGACAAATTTCATTGTGACCAAATCATATAAGTTTTTCATAAATCGTTGAGTAAAATTATTGAGAGCGAATCTACTAATGAAAATACCTGCTGTATTAATTAATACAATATATCGTTTCACAGGTCGGGTGGACTCTGCCAGCGTCTCCGTCGCCGGTGCATCACCACCACCACCACCATCATGGCCCGGTGCACCACCACCAAGGCCTGTTGAGTCCATTGGTGTCCATGGGCACTAGTGGTTACCCTTCGGCAGCCACGTATTCGTTCACGGCCGACTTTCGGCCACAGGACCCGATAACGTCCCAACTACCACCGCCGCCGTTTGCGTGCAACATACAGCAGGGTGTGCCAGTGCAGTCGTCGTCCACGTCTGCGGCAATGATCGACGACGATTGCAAGGACCTGAAACCGTGCGCCGAAATCCTAATGTCGGTGAGCGGCTGCGGTATGGGCGGCGCCGAGTGTTCTCCAGTCGGGTCGGTGACCATTGGTGAGGATGGCTGTCGTCCAAACATGTGCCGGATATGCGGCAAGACGTACGCCCGTCCCAGCACGCTCAAGACCCACCTGCGCACTCACTCGGGTGAAAAACCGTACCGGTGCGACGACTGCAACAAGTCGTTCAGCCAGGCGGCCAACCTGACGGCTCACGTGCGCACCCATTCCGGCGAAAAGCCATTCCGGTGTCAGATATGCGACCGGCGGTTCTCGCAGTCGTCATCCGTCACGACCCACATGCGCACCCACTCGGGCGAGCGGCCCTACCGATGCCGGCTGTGCAAGAAGGCGTTCAGCGACTCGTCCACGCTCACCAAACACCTGAGGATACACTCAGGCGAGAAGCCGTACCAGTGTAAGCTGTGCCTACTCCGGTTCTCCCAGTCTGGAAACTTAAACAGGCACATGCGCGTCCACAGTGGTATGAACGGTGCCGACATCATGTTGCCTGTATGACGGTGGAGGACAGTCAGTACCACCACCGCCAACCCCTCAGCCTGCCACCACAGTAATCACCTCCATCACCATCGCTACGTCGACTGCTGTTGGTAAGGGAAACCCCTTCGAGCCAAAAGAAAATAAACTCTTGACTACAAAATCATTCAGCCAACTTCGAACAAGAACAGATCAGCTTATAAACCAACCACCGACAACTCCACTCGGAGTCATCTGTAGACAACCGTACAGTTCATTTTCGGTACATATAAAATAGGTAGTAGGTACCGCTATTGCAGATGTATATATATAAAACTATATACAATATAATATCATCACGCACACATGTCATTGTCATGTACATCTTTACTTGCACGGAGTCAATATTTTTAATCGCCTATATTATGTTTTCGGTCCGAATAACGACCTGTAAGTATTTTTATTTTGTTTTCGAAAACCGATAACTATACAGCCGTACACCACGGCGGTGATGGTTTATACGTACGCATAGGGGAATTATACGTAAAGCTATACAAACGATGTACAAATAAAAGGTACCTACGCCGTTTTCTTGTCCGTACGTTGATAATATATCACCCCTGAGAAATATAACACCAATTCCCGTTGTTTTTTGTTATTCACGAATTCGTACCATATTTAGTTCAATTTATTTTGTAGAGGTTTTTGTTTTTCACCATTGACTGATGATCTAGGTACGCGCCTTGCAGTATTGTAATGACAGTGTGTTAGACAGTCTTCAATTTTTTTTAATGTAGTTTTCGTTCTTCGTATGATACAACTGATTTTTAGCACAATACTAATAGATATATATATATAGACGACAGGAGCCACCCCACATCGACGAGTGTACCACCGAAATGAACATGATAATGACGACTTGAAGAAAGTCGTGTTTACACTTCACAGAGCATATATATATATAGAATATAGGTGTAGGTAGAGTGAATTGTATCGTCTCATTTCTTAATTTAGTATTTACATATAATTCAAGCACATCCGCAACAAGTATTTGTACCATTCCTAATTTTATGAAATTAATTTCTGACCTTAATCTGAACCACTTAGATGTACGTACTTAAATTTATTCAAATTTGAGTTCAATATAATTTAACCATGTACCCAAACTCCAAGTCCAGAATCGGATCAAACGTTGACATCAACTTTCTATTAATAATACATTATTTAGTTGTGCCAAACTAAAATAATTATTTAGCTATCTGACATACTTACACCATCATGTTATTTTATTATCGACGATGATGATACTTTAAAACTATACTCAATGCTCCTATAATAGAAAATAATTTATTTTCAGAGTATAACGCATGGTTCAATAACTACACTTAGTGGAACAATACAAAATAATAAATTAGTGATTAACGATTTTTAAAACTGAAATCCCGCAACAAATAATTAATCTCAATGGACATTTTTTTTTTTTTGAAATAAATAATATGTGATAAATATTAAGACTTCGTTAATTTATATAAATATCACTTAGTGTTAAAATTGTTTTTTTTTAGTAGATTATTGCATTATATAAAATAGAATGTACATTATTGTTCTCAATCATATTATAGTGTTTTGTTTGGATTAGTTAAGTCTTTTTTCGTCGTATATGCCTAAGTAATATTGAAAACGACGCAAAAATTTAAATGTTCATAAATAAGTATTAACCAAATTTTAGTTATCTATACTTAATTTTATAACAGTTCTTTTTTTCTTATCAGTTATATAGTGTGTAAAATTGATTTTACACATTTGTGTGTGTTATTTATGTCATTATAATTAATTATTTTTAAATATTCAAGTATATTCTCAATCTAGTCAATGTATTTTATGTATAACAAATAACTTTTAGAATTATTATACAATCATTTGTAAATACGGCTGAAAAAATATAAAACAATATAAATGCAAATGAAACGCATAATAATAATACGTAATAATATATATAATACTATAATATTTAATTGTGTATTAATTTATTTTCATCTTGACTCTATTGCTCTACATTTAATAACACGCCATCCACCTTTGGTTGGTATGAATCTAATGATATCATTGATACTAAACACTATCATGGATGGAAACTGTATCAGCCTCTATTTCTTATGATGTTTTATAATATGTTATATGTCTTATAAACATTGAACACTGTTAGTAATAATTAATGGGCATTGGTAACCAAATTTTGTAAAAAAACATTGCGCATATTATTATTTAATAGTTGGTGTAATATTACTATAGTGATTGAAGTCAATACCCAAGTAGTGACATACCTTAGAACAGTGCATAGAATGGGATGTGTATTGGTAAATTTCATGAGGTTAATCAATATTATGAACATTTAATTGTATACAGAAAATGATTTTAAATAATAGTAGAATGATTCAAATTATTGAATACAGAAGAAATACAAACAAATTGTTTGAATAGTAAGAATTCCAATATTTCATCAAAATTTGAACTTCAAATATATTAATGGGCTTTTACGCTCTATTTCGATTTCAATAAGAAAATCGTAGAAGAATCTTTTTGTTATATTTTGAAACTTTAGGTATTAAAATAAAAACTTAATTTATTATTAACAAAATAATTTACAAATATGTTTGCCAATTTCAAAAGTGTATAAAAAAAATTATATTGAATGAAATTGGGATTTATATTTCTTTTTTTTAATGATGACATACAAAAAAAAAAAAATACTTGAAACAAAAATTTTAAATTTCTATTATTAACTCAGAGCCTAAATATTTAAAAAATTATATCATGTATATAAAATGCTAATATAAATATTTGATAAAAATTCAATATCTTTTACTGATTTTTCTATGAAAATTTTTTTGCTAAAAACTATGAAATAAAATCTTAGAACTTGTCCAAGAGTCATCAGTAATTAAAAACACACATTATATTTTTTATGTATGCATGATCAAAGATTTAAATACGACGGTTACTGGCTAAAATGTGCTACATTTTGCTAAGCAATGCACACTTTAGAACAAGAATATAAATTAACAAATAACTGATCAACTAGATTTAACATAGGTCTAAGGAATTCATTTGAAAATTATCAAGGTTATTGAGATCTACTTACAATTCACAAACAATTTTCTAATGTTCGAGGAGAGTTGGGGTGTTAAATAAGCAGTTAGATTTGTCGTTTTACACAGGTATTCAATTCAAAGTATTAATCTGGGAGGATCATTTACTGTTCATCTTAGCAAATTAAAGTAAATACCAACACACCGGTATAGCAGATAAAAAAAAAACCTGTACATAAACACATACCAGATACCATATGCCTGGTGTTGAATCTCAGATAGGTAACTGGTAACTCAGTGAACACTAAGAGCATTAAATCTCAATTGGTTTTCAATCAAAGCTCAAGACAAATAGGTAGAATGTAATCTGTGTGAAAATTTGAATGAAGATCTTGTCACCAATGCAGAGATTAGCAGATATTTTTAACGGTTATGTAAGCCCAAGAAATAGCTAAAAATATTATTATACTTACCATAGTATATACTATATAGTATACACTATGAACTATTCATAATATGTCGTAGTATTGTACTACCATGTGACTAAAAATTTGACTAACTTTTTATGTCCGCATGAGAAAATTATCCTTTACTTTTCCATGCAAGAAAACAGATCTCATGGGAGGTTATCCCTAGTAGGGCAGGTTTTCACAATGGTACCACAATTCACTTAACAGCTTTTGTGGTACTAGGTAAAACCAATTAACTGTAGACTAACACTTTCACACCGGTTTTCTTAAAAGGCTTCCAGCTTCATGTTCATGTTGGGTGTCTTAGGAGGTAGGTTTTGGTTGTGATAAATACATGCCTAGACATAATATTGATACATTGTTTAATACATTTAAACACTAACTCAATGTTCACTGTACTGAATAATAATGAAGAAATATATATATACACATATATGTATTACAAATAAACACAAAGAATATTATTGTTCCATGCAACACTAATATATTGTAATCTCTCAAATAAAATATTAAATGTTACATTTATTTTTTATCTTTACAATTTCTAAAAAGAATAGTTAAAATTGTATTCAATAAATTTGTTTTGCTTTTTTAAATATTATATTTACAAATTTGAGTTTTAAAAAAATTTGGCTCAGCTGAAATGTTGCTTGACCGATTTTTACTTAACAGAAATACATAAATGTATAGTAATAATTAAATTATTCATAATTGTTTTTTTAATCATATTAAGAATTACATCACCTTTTGTTTCACTTAAAACTAAAACAAAAATTGTATTGTTACAAAATATGTCGTTTTTATGACATTATACACATGTCAAAAAGCACAAGATATTTATTGTTTTATCTTATATAAAAGATATAATTTAGTCATGTTTTCAAACATTTATGCTTTATTTTTTACAACTGGGACTTAAATTAGGTCTAATTACAACACAAAGTAAGTCTAAAAAAAAAAAAATAATAATAATAATCTTACTATAATTGTTTGCTTAAATGAAACCTATATGATTTAAAAGGGTATAAGAAATAGTTATTCCATCAAAATTATATACAATATCCAACTTGATTTTTAAATCATATGATATTTTAATTTTTCTATGTACTTTCATGTATATTACAAAGTTCTGATTTGTGGTCCATTAAAAAAAAGTACAAAATAAAAATAATAAAAGTTGTGATCTATATAAAATATAATATATATTTTTTATGTGTTTAATGTGTCGATTATTGCATACCAATTAATATAATATGCATATAATGACATATTAAACCAGTGAGTTTGTTTTTAACATTAATTTATTATGAAAAAAACCTAACTTTTAAAGTTGAAAAATATTTGTTTATTTTCCCTAACCCTGCCCAAATGTACGCAGACCTTACATGTACAATGAGGCGACAATATCTCCGGTTTAATCATAAAACAGTTAAACACACTTAACAGTTAAAAATTCTATACGTAATAAACACTACTAAATTAATGTGATGTTGCTATTTACAATAATTATTAAAATAAAAATAAAAACATATGTATATGTTATTTTATATCCTGTAGAAGCCCAAATGCCACTTTTTTGTCTCCCATTCATTTAACATTACTCTATTGCATGGTGAAATTATATTTTAAACATTGAAAACATTTAAAATAAAATATTGTTATGAATATTTACAATTATTTTTACAAAATAAATAGAAAATTAAAACATATAATAATACAACTTTTTTTTGAATAGTAATTTTGTTTTTGAATGAGATACGATTGCACTTTTTAAACCAGTTTACATAGAAAAAAAGAAAAAGAAACCTCATGGAAAGTAATTCTGATTATATTTCAAATTGATGAGTATATTAAGACTCAAGGCGCCCTGTTATTTATAACTAAAATGTACCTATAATGTATGATTTTAGTTAAGTTCACAATGTTGTTTTTATTTAAACAGCATAAGAAAAGTCAATTAGAACACAACTATCGTTCTAAAGCAAACGTTTGTTTCTACTTTAATTCAGTAAAGCATAAAAGAGTATAGGGGAATACTAGTGTCTTTCAAACAACAGACCTATACGTCAGGGACGGACTACTCTGGCTCACATTATTTGTACTGTCACGGTCGTTTTGTCCAGAAGTGTATGGAAGCTGGGTGTTAACAAACTACAAAACATAAAAATAAAAATAAAAAATAAAAAGAATCAGTAAAAAAAATTAAAAACACAAAATTCCCGAAAGCGTGTCAACAATAAAGTAAAGCGGTCATGGAAATTATGTCGCTAAGGGCGCAGCAACACTTTAAAACGCGTTGATTTTTAAATCAAACAAACAAATAAATCAACCCCCAGGACGCCTTGAGAAATTATTCAAGTGATTAAAAATATTATTGTGCAATATATTGTCTTATGGTAAGGCCACCTGCGCCCTACCATATAATGCAGACTAATAAAAAATAAGCTACGGACACAATTTCCTCAATCGAACATATTTTTAAGTCTTAGTACAGCATATATTATAATTATATTGTATAACATTCATAAATTATTATTAATTTAATAAAAACGATTAAAAAGTGTACTTGTTATTAATGCACTATTAATATATTGTTATTATTAAAGGGTGCCAAAACTTTATTTTAATACAGCAAGTTATAAATAATGAGCTGAAAATATGGGGGGAAAAAATCAAAACTGAATTTGTTTCTCACAAACAATAACATATATTTCAACTATTTATTATAATAAAAAGCAAATAGTATAAATCAATAACAAATTTTCTACAAGCTATGAATAAGGATTGAAGTAAAAAACTTTAATATGAAAAAAGGAATCAAACATTATAGTAATTCTCTTCTGT